TGAAACAAGTAGTATGTAATCCACAGGACGTCTTTAGCATATGTTTCCTTCCAAGGCTGACAAGAGCTTTCTTGGATTTTTCTGCACTTGAGTCTGATGTTTCCATTTTCAAGCTAAAAATATGAACAAAAATCTTACACATTTACATAAATATGTATTTTCCCAGCACTATCTTTCCACAGGAATCATACACGCTGTATCAGTTTTAAGACCTCGAAAAATAAAATGTGAGTATGGTAACATTGACATGAAAGTGTTGAAAACCCCATCCTTAAAGCTGTATTTCTCTTCATAATTCAAAAGGCCCAGAAAAATAAATCCAATCAGAAACCTAGCTCCATGATAGAACATTCTTACTGATGAAGGAGAATGAGATAGTGGATGTAACAAGGCAAAGCTCAATACTCAAAGCTATCATAATTTAAAATTAGACATAATTATCCTTAACAAAACCAGGCACTGTGGAAAGGGGCTTTGGAACAGCTGCTCCTCTTCAATTTAAATGCTCATTTGTTTTACATTGACCTAGAAATCAGTATCCTCCGAACCAAAAGCCAATTAGATAATAGTCTGTCTTTCAAGCTTGTAGAATACTAATTTTTGTAATGTTGTTAGTAGTGAAAAGCAAAGAAATAAACTGCAGATGATGCCACAAGTATGCTCAGCTCCAATATGCACAACCAAAACATGAGGGTTCCCTTCCCTCCTTTCTGGAAGGTCAGATTTACAGCCCAGGGAAGACATCCATCATTTCCCTGTGCTAACCCTGCAGTGCAGTCCCAGGCTGGGACAACCACAGGACACGGCAAAGGCAACCACATGGAAAGATCTTCAGTTTGCTGGGGTGGCATCCTGCCACTCCTTCCACAGCAGAAGCAACGTGCCAAACTGACAACAAGGAAGCATTTCAAAAACTGCCCTTCCAACCTTACCCAGAGTTAGGTCATGAACATCAATGTTTTTGGAAACAGAACATTGCCAGGTTCTTACATTACTGCAATATAAACAAGCTGCTTCTTGAGCAACAAGAATTAAAGACGCCCAATTTCTTACAGACTCGAGTTTGACCTTTTGTCTCTTGCTCCCTCCCATAATCCTGACTGAGGTAACTCTGGCTTTCCTGTTTTACTTTCACCCAACTGGAGACAGCACCTCCCCCAGTTAATCCAGCACTGTCATATTTGAGTGTCAACCAGTGCTGCCAAGCCATAATAAACAACAAACTGACTGTCACTGAGAGAATGTGAGGGGGTGTCTCCTACTCGCTTCCAATTCTTAGACTATTGCAATTACAGTTATTTTTGACATTTCTTATTATTTTCAAGCCTGGATGAAATTGGCTTGGAAGTTACCAGGAAAGAAGGAACAATTGCAGAAACTTTGACTCCCTACTACTGTTCAGTGCTTCTGGCAGTCAAGATCATTTATACCATTACTTTCAATTTTGGTTAAAGCCAATGCCAGAAATACATATTCATCTACAGAGCTCTTCCTGCTCTAAAGAGACAAAATGATGATGAATGCCAGTTTGATTACACTTAAATACAAAGCCATAACATTTCTTGGTCTTCTGAGACTTGGCAGCAACCCTAGAGAAAATTCTTTCCATGAAAGGAGAGCCTTTCCTAAATGCATCCACAAAATAAGCTTCTCAGAAGGCTGGTATCACAGTGAGGCTGACAGGATCCAGCAAGATACTAATTAATACAGGAAACTATATTAGAAAACAGAGAATTCAATTGTACCAAACCATTATGTCTTCCTAGGAGAAAGAAACACTGACAATCATCAGTTGTGATTCACAGTTCCACGCTGCTGTTAGTGCAAAAGGTGGATGTTTCCATACTGAAAGGAGCCATCTAAAACTGCTGAAGTTGTGAAGTAAACAAGCCTATATTGACAGAATGATCTCATAGCAGAACACAAATCTCTACAGGCAAGGTGGAATTCAAGGCAAGGAGAAGCTCTTTCCAGAATAGTTAATGAAGCTGAAGAAACCCCTGTCTCCTTAGGTTTCCTTCTGAAGTCACTCAAGTAGAAAGCAACTAAATGCAAGTGTGAGCTACAATGGACAACAAAAGACAAATATGAAAATAGCAGTAGCATTCCAAATATACCTCCAAGTTATCAGACATCAGCATTATCAGTTGATTGTAGCAGGTTGCTCTGTCCTGTGCTTCTGAATTTCCCACGCTAGCAGCTCCCTTTCCTTCTCAGTAGTACTGCCTTCAAATCTGCTTTTGCAACAGGAAGCAGAGGAAAAGCCAAAGTCCATCCCTACCCAGCCAAACAAGTAAGCAGATTATCAAGGAGGTTTCAGAACAGCTAGGACAATGTCCAAGGCAAAATAATTATTTCAGTCCTATATCAGCTTTTCCAAAGAACAAGTAGAAGCATCATAGCATTAGTTATTGAGATTTTCATGACAATAAAAACAAAGCTTGCAAATAAATCACTGGCCTGAGAAGAGTTCTTAGGTGCTTTTGCATAGGAGAGGTAAAGGTTGGACTGTTTAAATTATTGTCTCTGCTGATCAAGTAAACATGTAAACATCAGGCTCTGAATTGTTCAGAGCTTACAGCTTGACTGAAAACTACATTTCTGAAGAAAATGCATCTCTATGAAACAGCTAAACTTTCTGGGTTAAGAACCTGCCAATCAATTGAATTTTTAAAAGTAGCTGTCGGAAGAATTGCTAGGGAATATGACCTTTCTATGTCAAAAGAACAGCCATGCATATAACATTAGATATGAGGAAGAAATTATTCACTGTGAGGGTGGGGAGGTGCTGGCACAGGTTGCTCAGATAAGTTGTGGATGTTGAATCTCTGGAAGTGTTCAAGGCCAGGCTGGATGAAACTTTGAGCAACCTGGCCTCGTGGAAGGTGTCCCTGCCCATGGCAGGGGGTTGGAACAAAATGGTCTTTAAATGTCCCTTCCAACACAAACCATTCTATGATTCTGTGATTTGAATGGCTGACCTAGAAATAAATATAAAGCCACTGATGACAAATGTATTCTAACAGCAGAGTATAAACAGTGAGGTCAGTACTGTCAGGGTGATCTGAATGACTTGCTCTATGCATGTACTGTGTTAATGCAACCAAATGGTAAATTGCACTCGTAGGAATTAGGACTTAGGCAACTACAGCATGAAAGGAACATCTGCAATTCTAACTCCATTAATCTCTCGTGGATCCCTTTTTTCAAATACTGGTACTCAATTTTACATCTTCCAGTCCTCAGACTATTTTAAGCAATTGCTATACGGCATAAATAGTAGTTCACACATTTCATCTTTGAATCATTTTAAAGCTGTGTCATTATCTCCTTTTACTCACTGAATTAACAACCTGCTTTGGTCTGTTCCTCACCATTCTGCTTTCTTTTTAACCATTCTTAATTCTTATTCATAGGTAGGATAGGGGAACACTGCATTCCTCTGTCTTGAAGGAGTGGTCCTTAATTCAGTTCTGTGAAGACTATAAAGGTGCAGGTCTCTTCACTGATGTTCTTTGTTCTTCAAGCTTGTCTTTCTAAATCGGTTCATCTTTTTGAAACTCAAAGCAGGTTGGTTTTTTACTGTTTTTAGCTTTGCATACTTCTATTTCTATTTCAGCTTTTAGGGTGTTTTTTTTACTTACCTCTCGAACCAGAACTGAGCACTGCTAAGGACACAATGTTACTCCTCCTCCCATGGGATCTTTGCTGGAGCTTGATCTGTCTTATTAAACCATCACTGAATATGTAAAGTCTGCTCTCATCATGTCCCAGCATGGCATGTGCCCAGTCTACACAGAAGTGAATTCTCCCACTCACACTTTGTTGAGGGTGTCCAATCCTCCTCAGCACACTGCAGTCAGCATCCCCTGCCGTGCACTGGGTAATACAGGAACCCCAATTAATACATCTTAATTAGATTTTAGAACCAAATTAGAACCAAGCTTAAGTTAGAACTTCATTAGAACCAAGCTTCAAGTCTTGGTGTTCTGTGCTTTGCCTGTTTCAAAAGGGAGCAGAGAGCAGGGTCTTTAAACATGCAGCACCACCCAGCCACAGTCCCAGCCTCCATAACCTTTCCCATGCAGTTTGAGGAGATGAGACTGGACACAGAACTGCATGTAAATGAGACAGGCAGTCCTCAGTAGTCATGACAGAATTTGAGCATTTTATGGGATTAATTATCTGTAAAACATACAGTAGTGTAATAATTACACTTATGAGCAGTGAACATTATTATGTGCTTTCCACTACTCTGGACTGGGGGATTCAACACAGAACAGAAGCTTATAACACAAAGCATAAGCTCAATGATGTAGCTTAAGTGAGATGGAGTTAAATCAACTTTATCCTGTTTACATAACACAAAATGGAGTTCAAACAAGCTTTCATTGCTCGCTACAGAATGTGAAATTGTGCTTACCTACTTCTGAACACCCAAACTATTGAGGAAGTTTCCTGATGTGCAAGGAAAAAAGGAGCTGACCATTACAAACAGCTGTCTGTGACTATTCCCAAATGGAGATTGCATGCAATGGAAGCAAAGCTTGATGATAAAATCCTTGTTGATAATGGGAAAAAAGAAATCCAATTGCAGATGGAAGGGCATGCATCATTAATGTATTCCACTGAAGAAGCTAGGCACCAGCATATCTTTCCCTTGGAATTACTGCCATTTATAGTAAGCTGGGGGAAGAGCAGTTCACCTTTTGCTTATAGAAAAATAGAGAAGTTCAGCAATTAGAACTGTAAGGGATATCTATCACTCCACTGCAGACCTAAGTTTAATGGCCAAGCACCCTTCAACAGTTTTTAATCCATTCCTGACACTTTCCCCAGGAAGATTTTTCTGACAATAAACCACATGGAACAGGGTCTCCCAAGGGTTTCAACAACTCAGTTATACAAAAATGTGCAGCCATTTTCTTTTTAAATCTCATATACATATAGGTATGTGTGTGTGTGTGTGTATATATATGGGTATGTATATATATATAAACTGATTTCTAAATCACCTTTATCAATAAAAAAAAAGAAGATAACCAAGCCATTCAATTTATTAGAGTGCTCTCTTGGAATTAAGTTGGCACATAAATCAACTGGTTTGTTTGTAGCTATTACCTGATATTCATGCATGCTCATATCAGCCATAAGAAGGTCTGCTTTTCTTTTTACTCTGCCTTGTATAATTCAACAGTTTCTCAGTCAGCAACATTTTAAACACAATATGTAAATTCTATTGAGAAAGTAAACATGTCAGCAGGCCAGTAATCATATAGAAAACAAAAGATGTCACTGTCAAAACTACCACTTTAAACAGCTGCCTGTTTAATCAGGACTGATGCTGATACCTGATCAATATAACCTGGCAATGCTGACATAGCTCTTTCCTCTCAATTCAGATAGTTCTGCGTGTTTGCTATATTACACATTTCAAATACCTAATCACTTATCTTGCCAAACTTCCCTTTCATTAGCCTATTTCATTCTAATAAGATTCAAGAATTAACTCTGATAAGAAATGTATGCATTTGAAATTCATAACACTCTACATTTTACTTTATTTTAAAAGAAAATATTTGATAGATTAATTTTAAGGCAAGACATCAGAACCTGACCTAAAACCAAACAAATAGTTATTGATAGATTTAATAATACCCACAGACTTGACTTTTATGTTGCATACTATCATTTGAGCAGACTCAAAGAGCTTGTGGATCAAAGCCCATGACTCAGAACACTGTTAATTTAGCAAGGAGATACTAAAGAAATAAAGGTAGTACCAGAAGTAGTAACTGTGCAGTAGAAAAGGGGAGTGCAAATTGTGAGCAGCTGTAAAACTGCAATACAAGATACAACTCTACAGTGTTCACACTTGCCAGACCAGGAGCTCATTGCCCAAGGAATTGACAGTGGAGAGGGACTAATGAGGTCACAGTAGAAGTATATGTGTGCATAAAGCAGCCCAAATTCACAAATAACCAGAATTTTCTGGTTATCATCAAGTAGTAAGAACTGAATTTTACTGTGGGGAGGTTTTTTGTGGGAGTAGGGAAAGCCATGGACAAAAATAAACACTGCTGGGAGAACACAGGAGGGAAAGGAGACCTTAGGAACACTGAACAGGCAGGAAAGGTCTTTAAAAGGCTCTAGCTGAGTCTGGAGACAGCCCAGTGTGCAAACTGCTCTAACCAAGGTTAGCAGCACTGATGAAATGCAAGCAGGAATGAACATTCCGACCTTTGTCTCCAACCCCTGGATTCCTGACACTGTGATAAGCACTGCATGTATTTTCCTTGACAACAGCTCATCCATTAAATTATTTCAATTACCAATATTTAGAAAATTTGAGGTGCAGATTTGCCAAAAGTACCTCTGCAGGCTTAACCACTTGAAACAAAAACATCACACTGCAGCTACCGAGGCAGCTTTGTGTGAGAGATTCAATGCATGCACTGTAACTTTGTGTAAACAATTCACAGCAGAATTCTCTGTGTTAAAGGTATGCAAATGCTTGTTGCTAATTTGAGCAGAGACAAATACAGAAACCATGTCAGACCTGAAGTTTCATGTTTTATTTAAACTCCAAGGCAGAGAATTTTAATTCAAAGTTTCACATACTAATTTGTTTTCATGGACAAACTATGAACCGTGCCACAGGAGTTCATCATATAACTACTTTAAGTGTCACTATACTGTATGACCACATTAAAATAATGAGGTTTGAACATTCCTATCTTCAATTAGAGCTTTGTGGCTTCAAGCACTTAAAGAATAAATGCTGCCATTAACCTAGACCTTACCCCTCAAATATGCACCAAAAATATTAACAATGTTACTGAATCATGAGGTCATTGTGAAAATATAGATCTCAGTGGATTCCATCACAAAGCAAAATCTTGAGGATTTTAATAGGATATTATTTAAGGTATAAAATTAAAATCTCTCATTAAGTTATCTCAACAGCTCATTTAATTTATCAGGCTCAAAAAATATTTTAAAGGTTATGTTAGGTTAATTACATTTCACATCCTTTTATGACAGATCTGAAACCCTGCACATCTTTCAATCCTCTTTTATAAACATTCCTCTTTGCCAAATAGCTGAGAGTTCACACTGACATATTTTTGCATACTCACACTATAGTCTCAACATGACAGTGTTTTATATTCACGATAGACACAGAATCTTGTTTTTTTTAATGGAAACTTGGTCACTGCAATAAATAACAAAAGCAGAAGCCCCTCAGTCAGTAAGGCATCCTCTCAGCAAATTTTACACTATTTGTACTTAGGTGGCCACAACTGCTTTCGGTGAAAATAATTCTGATCAATCCAAAAGGCCACAATACAGGAATTTCTCTCATCTATTCCTAAAATAAATAACAATTTTGGGAAAAAATCACCTGCCATTGTTTGCCCTAGCTTCAAGGGAAGAACTAAAGACACTGACTCTAAATGAAGCTTGGTAATATATTGGTTATTCTGACTTCATCCCTCATGTTCTCACAGCACAAGGACTCTGCAGGTCCCATTGGGAAGAGTCTGAAACTCACAATTAACGTGGAAATGCTGGGGTTAGCAATAATAACCCAGCAAGGGCAGGTAAGAGATCATGGTATGCCTCAGCTCTTGAACAACTGACTTGAAAAATCTAAATATGAACACAACCAGAAATAAGAAAATAATACTGGCACACTATTTTCAGTGACTGCAGCAATAAATTATTCCACAGCACCATCCATTTGAGCTCCAAACATCTGCTAAAACATTAATAAACTGAGGTTTACAGAAAGTCTGGGAGACGTGCTCTACTTTCAGTTCTTCAGGTGACCAAGGGATTGAACCTCTCTGTACCTGAGCTTATCAAAGTTCAGATATCAGGATTGTTACATAAATCCCAGGCTTGTGTTTCACTTACAAGGCTACCCTTATCTCTGCCAAGAGATTTCACCTCTCCCCCTCTGGTAATCTCGAGGCAATAAGGATTTTAGATTAACTCATAGGAAAGATTGTGAGCTGCAGCTCTTCAGAGGTGGTGCACACAAACCTCTGTATTCCCACTGTCCTGAGAGTGGTAAAATAAACAATCACTGTGTCTCTGGGGCTGAAAAAAGATTGCTGGAAAGACACATTGCATGGCTTGGATAAACCAAAGTGACACAGTGCAGGAAAACAGACCAAACAAAAAGTAGCAGCCAAACATGGAGGATTAGGCTACTAATTACAGAGCATGTCCAAAGCTTTTGCTCAGTCAAAATGCTACAGGGTATTCTTATAAATGTCCTAAGGCTCAAAACAGTTTGCATTTCTGAAATAAAGCAGCCTGAAACTTAAGCAAACGAACTATTTCATGTTTTAAGACCAATCTTCCTATTATCACATCCTAGGAACTATTTCAAGAAGTATGACCAGACACAGAAGGCAGCCATATTAAAATACCAAATGCAGACGTCTCACACTGCCTTTCTGTGGAAATATCTGCCAAAAATAAAACAGAAAATTTTCAACTACTTTAAATTAAAACCCAGAACATTTATTGTCTACATCAGTATGTGTTTATAGAGAGGTCATTAAGAACCACAGAACAACACTCAAGGAACAAAGCCTCACTCAACAGTGAGGCTTCAACAGTGTGTGTTTAAGACAGTCTGAATAACTATATTTTAAGTTCCCCGTAGCTCCCCAAGCAAAAAAGCTAATTTTCCATGCACACTGCAGCAGTTTCTCACTTTACACCTACAATAGTGCTGCTGTCAGGAAGAGAAGTGACTGCATGTGCCAAAAATCAATTCAACATATTCACAGACAAAAAAAAATAACATGCAGCATCTGAAGATAATGAGAACTGCAATCATTCAAACTGACAGTCTAGTGCCTAACAATTATCACAAGGCAAGTTTTATGAATTCATATTTCCTACAATGACAAGCCTCAGGTTACACAGAAGGGCGTTCACATTTTCTTTCAAATATGAAAACCTCCTTTAAGCCAATGAGTCCACTCCAAAATGGAATTCACTTAACTGAAGTGAGTAAAAAGATGCTGACTGTGTTTTAAGTAATATGCTGAAGTTTCTTCTGAGCAAGATGCTGACTGTGCTTAAGTAATATGCACTATATAGTAAATAAAACTTTAGTATAGAATTTATCACAATAATTTTCTGTTCTTTACATGAATTATTCAGAATGAAGTTTCCTAGTGAAAAACCAATCAGGACTATCAGTTTTGGATGCCAGTGTGAAGCAAGTGCCCTGAATTTATCATGAAAACACACATGACACAGAGTCATAGCACATCCATTTTTGGTTTCCTACCATAGACACCTTAAAAGCTGTGACAAAGGTAAGTCCCTGCAAGCACTGCCAAATGTCTAGAACTTGCTCCATACTTCTTCCTCAGGCCCTGTCCAAATTCCAAAATTGATAATGTACCCAAAGATTCACCAACAGACTCTGCAGCATATGTCCATGCAAATATCTAATTAGTATGCACAAACTTAGACTTCACACATGGTCTTAATTTGGAAATCCACTTACTTCCTATCTCAGGTTATTACAACTGCCAATTTAAAATGCAATTTCCATGCCTTCACACAGTAATAAAATCCCTTCATTCATGCAGCCATAGTTCGTGCTGTCTCTTCCTTTTCTACCAACATAAAAATATGAAATCCTACCTGTACAGTATTGAATGTTCTCTACTCCCTAAAATGATTTATGGCCTTCATCACCTATGACTTTCATGATTATTCTTAAACAAAACTATTTTCATCTGTATTGAACAATACTTAAACAGTCAACATGTTACCACCTAAAATGCAAACTAAAAGTAACATTATCTGTGATAAAATATTTTGGGAAAAGAGCAGCTGTGTGTTTTAGAAGACATAAATGTAAAATGAAGTTTTCCCATCAGATTCAAATGCCCAGGCAATGAGCAGGAGGTAGCACTATGCACAACTGGCATTAATAATTTGTCCCTGAACTAGTGCTGTATTTTTCAATAAAAAGAGATTAATTCTTTTGTGACGAGGTGGAATTCTAAGCTCTACGCCAGCACACAAAATGAGCAGATGTTGTACCTTGCAAACCGATGTTTAATTTGTTAGTCAGATGCCTGGTGTCTGCCAACCCCGCTCCTTCCAAACCCTCATCCCTGGGGTGTAACAAGCACTGTCCGTGTGCTGCACAGAGCAGAGACCCGCAACAGCAAACAGCAAATCCGCGACAGCGCTGCAGGACGCGCGGAGACAGAATTTCCCTTTATAACCTGGAGGGGCTTTGAAGCGGGAGCTTCTAGTCCCACTGCACTTCACCAGGCCTTTTGAATTATTAATTCCCGTGCTGAGGTGAGCAGCAGCAGCGCACGGAGGTGTCCTTTAGCCCGGGGAAGCTCGGCTGTCCCCAGCCCGGCCGGTCCCACACACGGCGACATTGCCGGGGAACTCGCGGCTCCTGCGCCCGGGGCTGCAGCGCCACCGCCAGGCCAGAGGCCGAAGCGCAACTCACACGGCTGCCACCCAAAAATCCCCAATTTTGCTTATGGAATCTGCTACAAATAATATTTTTCTTTTTTTTTTTTTTTTTCTTTTTTTTTTCTTTTTTTTTTTTTTTTTTTTTTTATCTTGTTCTCTTCGTAAATGTCCCAACCATCATCTCTCTGTTAGCAGAAAAAGGATGCTGCAAACCACAGCACGGCATTACCAAGCGAATTAATACTCCAGCTAAAAAAAAAAAAACAGTTATTAACAGGTGATTCCTGTGGGACACGATCCCATAAAGAACATACCCCTGCTGTAAAATCACTAATGATTACGAGCGTCTCTAATACCGTTTGACAAAAACTCACTTGGATCCTGGAGTTCACAATTCCTGTCCCCAGCCCCTGGCACACCAGCAGATGGCAACCCAGCTCCACAGACCCCTCCATAGGCTTGAATAAAGCACAGCCTTTGGATTCACTTCCATGTGAATCAAAGGGAATTAGCTACCTTGTAATAATCTCACTCACTAACTCAAATCTGTAACCAATCAGCCTTCACTCTGCTCTGGCTTCTTCCTTATAGCCAGGAACAATACAAATTTTCTTTTTAATAAACAGCATCCTGCACAAGGGAAATATGCTATTAGGGGAAGTTTTTATATTGGGTACAGTTGATTCTATTCCTAATACAGGCAATATGAATTAAAAAAAAAGTAAAAGGAGCAAAAGTTTAGAAAATAAAAAGTCTATATTATCACCTACATCTAAAAAGCACACCCCAGCTTGGAGACCAAAAGCCAAAGCCCCAACATCATAAGGATGACCCATTCCCCCCATTCCACTCAGTATTGCCTAATCCACACAGCTTTGGGGAACTGAACATTCACAATAAATCAGGCTGAGTGTTGTTCAACAGAGGAAGTTCTTCAGTTGAGAGTTGTTTCAAATTTTTGCATTTGAGCTTTTCTACCCTCCAGATTATTATTCAAAAATCTAAGAGTCTTGGGTTTTTGACCATTTCTTCCAGAATAAGATGAGAGAAAGATGTACTCTCTGCCACTGAGTACAACCACAATGAATATGCAATGATTTCACTTTGTTTCAACTTCCACCCTGTTTGAAAGAAAATGTAAAACCCTGTCATTTGAAATTATCCTGTGAAGATGAGACTGACCCTACAAGGAAATCTTACAAGTCTGGAACAGAGGATTAACAGAGCACCAACTGCTTAATCAGCAGCCTTCATCTCTGAAGATGAAGAAATAGCTCTGACCACATCCCATGTGGTGCAGAACACAAGGAAGAAAGTTTACACTAAACAGAACTGCGACCATCCAGCCGAAATCCTCAACCTCACTTTCAAAAATTATGTCCAGTTTTTCAGTTGAAGGAGTACCACAAGTTTCAGTTCAGTACTGGGAGCACTTCAGAAAATTAGAGTTTGCAAGTATTTTTAAAAATAATTTCAAACTCTCCTTCACAAACATATCTAAGTTTCCACTGACAGGCTTCTTCAAATGTTTTCCTATCACCACAGTTGGCAGAAGGAACATACATGGTTTCTTATTCCTGGAACATCTCAAACTTTTCCAGCCATTCGATGGTGAGCAATGCATATGAGATATAATGGGTTGCATATTATCAGATGTTTCTTTCCCAAAACCCTGGAGAGAGTGCTTGAGATGCTCTCTGTGAGGGGCCAGGACATGGGACACGGACACACACACAAAATCTCTCTCCACAAATAAAGCAGCATATTCAGCATTAGTGTAGTGCTCTAGTAAAGCATCCTGTTCTCAATAGACATGAGGGGAAAGTCACCCCTTGCCACCAATAAATGCTCAGCTATGGAACATTAGCACCTTATGGCATTGCTCCTGGCAGTTTCATTCACGCTGTGTTTTGTCAAAATTAACAGTTTCAAGAAAGACACTCCCAATCTACCTCTGTGACAATCACAACCATCTCTTCACAAGGTCATTTTCCCTTCTGAAGTTTAGAAACCCTGATGCTCTTTATGCCTTTCTTCATAAGAGAATGCATCCACATTACTGATCTTTTGCATCACGAGTGACAGGACTCAAGGAAACAGGATGAAGCTGAGTCAGGAGAGGTTTAGGTTGAATATCAAGAAGAAGTTTTTCACTCAGAGGGTGGTTGAGCACTGGAACCGGCTCCCCAGAGAAATAGTTACAGCACCAAGGCTGTCTGAATTCAAGAAGTGTTTGGACAACACTCTGGATCATTCACATGGGGTGCCTCTTGGGGTGTCCTGCATAGGGCCAGGACTTGGACTCAATTATCCTCATGGGTCCCTTCCACCTCTGCACATTCTAGGATTCTATAATCTCCCTTAAAAAAACACAGTCCAAGCTCTAACTCTTTGTATGACAGGGTAAGATCTCAGATAAACCCCCAAAACTAAGTCATGATGAATTCTCCATAAAATTACCCTTCTGTTCCTTAAACGTGCACTCTATATATATTCCCTGCATCCAATTTTTTAGTATATTTGGGTCTTGTCAGCAGGAAATACCACTGAGATGCCCACGATGATGCTTTATGTGTTTTCCTCTGATTACTTCCTCGGCTATCTAAGGGATTTAAAAGTCTTAAATAGGATACTCCCCACCGAATTCAATCTCACAGGATCAGAGCCATTCGTCTTAAGGTACATGATGAGCTGAAGGTCATCCTCTGAAATCCTCACGTATATTTAGAAGGCACACAGATCAGATCAACACCTTTCATGCCACGTTGACAGCACTCAGCATTCACTCTGCCCTGGCTTCTTTCTCAAGTCAAGGACCTAGTGGCAGCTGCTGTGCAGGCACATTAATCCAGATTATCACACATGTATGAGCTGAGAGACTCTGCCCAACAATAAATTCTGTTTATATAGTTTAGCAAGTTAGAATTTGATGTGTTCCCAGTTCTGGAGTCATTGCTGATAAGTAGCCTGGCTATCAGGCTTGTTTCAGAAGCCGAAAACTCATTTCTGTAGATTTGCTATTGTTAACTTATCTATTTGCCTTGCAAATATTTTTAAAGAGGAAAAGAATGCAATTTAAGCACAGTAAACAATCTGTAGGATCAGTAGTGGTTAGAAAGCAAAAAACCACATTACTGAATGCCACAAAGCAATTTAGCAAAGGAAAATCTACTGATACCTGCAGAGCCAGAAAGAGGGAGCAGAAACAATGCACACAGCTTTCCTGGCATTCCTAAATCACACTCCACTTCTCTCTAGCTATCCAACTACTGTATTATAACAAATAATAGAAGAATTAAATGCTCTAGCAGTCAAGGCTGGCATATTAAAATGACATTCTGCATTACTGAACTTACTCATCTCTTAATAGAGCTGTTCTTCAAAGGAGATTAATTATACTGGCAAGAGACCTTTTGCTATTCTAATTTGTGAAACGTATTTCAATACCACAAGCACATTAAAACAGCTGCAAATATGTAACTGGCTCCAAGATCCCAGGACTCACTGCATTTAATTAGGTGTTCATCTTGTGATGTTCTTTAGTCACTGCTTTTGAAACCCACTTCACATAAAAATTTGTAATGTCCAGGGTCCAGGCTTAATTAACTGCAACTGTAACGAACATACAGCCCATCATACAATATACAGAGATAGGAAAGTGACCATATCTTTCAACACCTAAACACCATCACAGGGGCACAGTAGCTGGATTTAGAGATTAATTTCTCTGCCTTACTTAGGAAACAGAGAAATTTAAATTATTTTTAAAAAACTCATTGGCACTATGTTTCACATCAGAACATTTGATAGACAGCACAAACACTGCCATGACCAACTGAAAACACAGTGTATAATATGAGTAATGTGCAGAATTGTAACATGCAAACAACGGCAGCTCACAGAGCTGCATGCAGCTGTTAAGCAACAACATAGTACTCCAAATTAAATAGCTGAGAATTAGTGCTTTGTTTTAAAGCACAGTTATTTTCATTAACCTAAGTTATGAAGCTCCAAGGCATTTATCTGCCTCTAGAGAACAGGCCTGTGTTTTAACATATTACTTTTCCTAATCCCCATCAGATAAATACTCATAGCCAAGTTCGTGTGAGCATTCTCCCTTTCTGTTATCATTGAATTTAAAACCACTGGTGAGAGCATAAATTTAAGGCAAACACTGAACAGGCACCAAATTAAGACACAACACAATTAAATCAGAAGAATTTCAATATAGTGACATGTCTGAAAATGTCAAGACTACAATTACTTCATTGTGAAATCAAAATTAGTTGTAACACAAACGTGTGGCTTTTTGAACCTTAAAGATTTAAGTTTCCTTTCATAGCCTGGTGGTGCCAAACTGTCTAGGAACCCCAAAAAAGTTCTCAGGGCTTTGTCCAAGGTACACTCTTCTACTTAAAGGGTCATTGCTTCTGAACAGTCTTACAATGTAACATAAATTTACCCAGTTACTTGCAGACTTGCAGCACTATAAGCAGCACACACCAAAATTCCTCACTTGAGTAAAAGTTATTATACAAATAACTGTAGATATTCAGCAAAGAAAACCATTTCAACTTTGGCTTTAATCTACTATTTACCAAAATTTTCTGTTGCACATATGCCTGCTCACAAATAACTGTCTTTTCTTACCCTTGGATTTTTCTCACATGTCACCGACTTAGATTTTTAGAGATAATAAGGAAAAATTACAAACAAAGTATGTATTCCTTTTTGTGTGCAGTTCAGACTTGACTGTAGCCACTTGAATGTGTGCCCCCATACAGAACACTCTTTTCTTAGAAAATATTTATTTAGCAGATGCAACATTCCTCAAAAATATTTTAACAAAGGTTTCTTTACCAAAACCTTTTGACAGATACCAGGAAGAGCATATGTCAATTCCAGCTCTTCAATTCCTTGGACAGTTATCTCTTTCAGGTTCATCCCCCCAGCTATTCCCTAGTGAAACAGGCAGAGGTAGATATTCAGAAAGCTGCTTTTCAATTAAACTTGTTTGAAATGGTTGGGCTCCCATGCTCACATCTCCTAGACTTCTAATGATATTTCTTTCAGGCATCAGGCAACTGAAGTAGTGTTGAGAAGGAATGTCCCCAAAAAGAAATTATTCTTCAACATACATCTTTTCCTGCTTTCTGTCTAAAGCAGGATGAACATATTCTCTCCCTAGTTCAGCCTGTAGCCTAAAAAGTCCCACAGGAACAAAATGTTGCTTTCACCGAGCAGGAGCAGAGAAAACAAGGTGAGAACTAAAGCACAGGATCACATCACTTTTTACAGCACAACAGCACCATGAGTGTTCCCAGACCCACTCACCAAACCAGCAGTAAGTGAAGGAGCAGATTGTCCTAGAGACTGATTTCTCATGCGGACCAGGTTGGAGGTGTCTCCAGGAGGCTGCCATATCGTCTGGCCCACTCCACTGTGGACACTATTTGATAAGGGAAGTAGCTGTTTTCCTTTAAAAATAAAATCAAAACACCATCAGCTTGTTTTTAAACAAGTCTGCAAGTTCAAAGTATAAAGATGAGAACAAATACTGCATTTGAAGAAAAAGCATTTAATAAAAAAAGCAATTTCAAGATTTTGGTAGGTTAAAACTTGTAAGAGCATCTTACCAGTAAATTCATTATGTTTGATAACTAATGATTTTCAAAAAACCTACTTTACATTCGAGATAAGGGGGAATCCAAAAACCTTGCAAAAACAGACTGCTATTACTTCATAAATTTCCATATTCCACTCATCTTAAAAAGAAAACAATATTTGCTGCCCTAAAAGAAGGCAAAATCTCTTTACTATAACTTTAAAAATTCTTTTGAAAACGCATTCCTAATTGTAAAATACTGTCTCCCCTAAATAGCTTGGTCATCTAGACATTCCCCACTTTCTCCTACCACTGGAACACTGAGCACTGCATTACATGCAGCTGTAATATAACATAGTGTATGTTTAAATATTGTCTTGCTTTAAACCATGGATGGATAGTTCTTTCTCAATAAATATTTTCTAGTCAATGCAACACTCGTTTTTGAAAAATGTCAAGCAGTAAATTTCCACAATGAGAAAGAACCAAAGTCAAAGTAGGTCATATTTTGACTCCACAGAGGCTTGACAGCTTCCTTTTATGTACAATGTCATCCACAAAGAAAAAAGAGAAGAAAGATATTTCTGTGGTTAAAAACACATAAGTGAAGAAGTCTGTGAATCTGGGTTTAGTTATTAGCTTCCAGATGACTTACTCTGTAAGTCTGGTCAGCCAACCCCTGTACTTCAATTTCCCCATTGCAAAATGGAAGTGGATAATACCTCTTTTCCTTAAAATTAGGACTATGGGATTAAATACCACATCCCCTTCCAAGCATTGTAAAGATTATTGCTTTCAATGGATTACTACATGCTCAGGAATCACAGGGGACTGAGACATTTACTGCAATAAGCAGCAGGAAGGCTACACCTTTAATCACATACATGCTGCAGAAAAAGACTTTTTCTCTCAGAGGCAGAAAAAGCTGTTCACAAATTCAACTGCACCTTAGAACTAGATGTGAACTATTGCATTCATTCCATAACAGTGGCTGCAATATTTGGAAGACTGTCACATAAAGTGACCAGCCATCATGCTGGGGGAGGGTGGGGAGTGGAAGTGCTGGAGTTTTTTTCTGGTTTTAATTTGTCAACATTAATTTTCTGTGATAGTTACAAGCAGTGGGCCAAGTACACACCAACAGAATGAGTCAAAGTGTATGACAGATGAGCAGGCTCAGCTCTGTCAAGCAAACAGAGACAATAGATTAGTACCCTCTTCCTGGTCCCACTCAAGCTGCTTACAGCTGTGGACGTGGTTTTCATGGCTTGATCATTTTCAAGATAATGAATAAATACAACAACTTGTCTGCAGAGACCTAAAACTATAGAAATGTACATTGCTGTATTTATCTCTGTACAGCACTAACAAAGATATCCTGTAATAGCAAGTCCAATAATGTAATTATCTAGCAGTCTAAAATACCCGTGCTTGAGGACAAGAATAATTTTATTTAAGTCTCTATAAGATAGTTATCAATATCTGCTTTCAGGTCCACAAAACCTGAATCCAGGAGGGAAGAATTCCATCAAGAGTCAAATCTCAGCCAACCAGTTTGCATGAACAATCATCTATACTCTTCAAACTTATTTGATTCTGGGGCAAAAATTAGCTGGAATCATTTTAAGGATGGAACTTTAAAGTAAAGCCTTTCCCTGTCATGCTTCAAGTTCTATACACATTCCAAACGCCCACACTGAAAATATACATCTAAACCTGTACATTTTCTCTATCCAGTTGGGTCAGACTGATTTTGTTGGGGCTCTTTACCTCTTCTTGAATCAGGTACAGTAGATTGAAAAGTAATTAAGATGAATCACCAACTTCTGGACAATATAGATTTTTTTGTTCTGAAATTACCATCTCCAAATGGAAAAATTATTTTTAAAAGAGAACAGACCTTCCAGTTTTCCTGCTTCCTCCTATTTACTTTGCTTTCTTCTACTCAAGGAGAAAAAAAAGCTACAGTACTAATTCAGGCCATTGCAGTCAGTCAACAGCTGTGTAGTTCATAAAGTTCTGTGATTAACCTACCTTGGAAAACAAACTTATATGCATACAAAACATTACAAATGTATCTATTTTTCAGAAACTATCCACTTAGTATAAATAAAACACTAAGCCAAGGCCAAGCCAAAATAAAACATATACTTCACTGCTTTGTTAATTCTATTACACCTAACACCTCAAACATGAAAATATTTATCTTCCTCTGAGAAAAGACAAGGCACCAGGACTGGATGTATTTTTACAATCATGTAAATCAAGCCCATGCTGATGCCAAAAAAGGTGGCTTCACCTTCTTCCTCCTTCCCTCCCACCTGAGAATTTTCAGCTCTTTCAGTTCTTGCACTCACATACAAATAGGCAGAGCCTAATTAGGGAGGAAATGGGCTGCAACTTAACCCTAACAGAGTAACACTGGCATTCGGGCATATCAGCTCTTTCATTCTAGACTGATCATGCAGCTCTCTCTGCTCTATTCCAGCACCACAGACTCTGATATCAGTTTTAAACAGTTGTGAAACCATCCCCTAGCCCACTAACAAAGTCCTTGAAAAAAAAGAAAACTACTGAACTCAGTCCATTTTTGGGTAGTTACTTGCTTCTGCTCGCTCCATGGTTCTACAGCTGATAAACTAAATTCAATTACAAGGCTGAATATTTACGTTCATAAGAAAAAACAAATTTTACACAAACTAAAAAAAAAAATCAAGTTAGCAAGCAAGATTTTTACTTTGAAACACAATTGCCTACAGTGCTTTTGAAGCCAAAAAGAAACTAAATAGCAATTCAAACATGATATTAAAAAGACAGTTTCCCAGTAAGAAACAAAAGGGAGAAGTGGGCAAGCTTACATTCAATGCTGATGTTAAAAGGAGTAATACACCAACGTGTCATCTAAAGTTCCACAACTCCATTCTTCAATTTTGTATATTAAATCTTAGCTTTTAACTTTCCACTCTAGGCAATATAGAAAACTTCACTCTAAATTCAGGGTTTTTCACTCTTTTCTACTGATATTTCTTTTTGCATCTTTCTCTTACATAAAATTTTGTATGCCCTGCCAACAAGAGATCACCTTACCAGTGACTTACCAGTATCTTTTATTACGACTGTTCTGCCAACAATGCTGCATCTTTAACACCAGTAAAGTGTCATATTGTCTTTACAAAATGGCTTACCTGACAAAGAACTTGCCAAGCTGCCTCTTCGTAGCTTG